ACCGGTGCAGCAAACCGTCTTAAATACTACATATATTCGTGTTTAAATTAATTAAATTTTTTCGTCCTAATGAGGCTAATTTTAGTTTTTCATTAATTGGTGCTATAGTTTTATCGATCTCAAAACTTTTACCGGGCACTATAAGGATTTTCAGCTAAAATTTGTCGCCAAAAAGCATTTCGGAAAAACTAGCATGGAACGCGCATATGGGATCCACAATATCTATATAAGTAGCGTGTGCAAAGTGTACTACACAGTTTGGAAACTAAATCGACAGAGCTAAAGACGACAAGCATGAAGCGGAGAACTCGCCAGCAGAAAAACTATATCTAAACACCATAATTTTACATACAATGCTTGTTCTAGATATATTATGCACTAGTAGTACCTAGTATCTAGTAATTAACTTTGAATTTCATTAAGATGAGCATGTCAGCAGCATAATACTATCATAATTTATTCAACTGGTTTTGAAAAACTAGTTGTTAACCCAAAAAAGTTTATACTCCGGTTCAATATTGCTTGCTAGTCGCAAGCGTAACAGTTTACTTCTGTGGTACAAAAAACTAAATGCCCCAGAAAAGGGGACAGTCCAGCCAAGAACGCTATATGAAAGACAAAGCACAGATGCGATGTGGAGCTTCGCTCCACTTGCGATACAACTCAAACAAAACACATAACTCGAAAAAAAAATGATATGAAACTAAGTGAATTTAAATTTTCTTAGGTTTCGAAAAAAAAAAACAACAAGAAGCCAAGCTAAAACTGAAGGCACAGGTTTAGTTTTTTAAATTTGTAATACCGATGCAGGACGAATTGCGTCATTTCGAAAAGTGGGCTTTGCCCAAAGCCTTTGGAGAAGAGTGAAAACTTTGAGATATTGTAGTTTTTTAAGGGCACAACTGTTTTCGCACAAAAAATTAAGGAGTCGCCATTTGCGCTGGCAAAATTTTTGCAACCAATTTTTGATAAATTTCTCATCTTAGATTAGATAGGGTAGTTTCTCCAAAATTTCGAAAGGTTTCTAAAAATTTGTCAAAAACTTGACTTTCCAACCGTTTTCTGCAAGAAGCAGGTCGAGGCCGCCAAGTACAGAAAATTACCAAAACTGTGTTTCACAATTGAATTCTTCACGTGGGAATCGGCACAGTAGTTTTCGAGTATAATTTTGAATTGTTTTAAAGCCGTGATTTTTTCTAAGAATCATTGGGTAAAGCCAATTCAAAAGGTAGGTTTTCAACAATTTGTTGTTTCGATTAAACCTATGATATCAGATTTGGCAGGATATTTTTCGAGAAAAGCAAACATTTGACCAATCCGAGGGCCATAACTTTGTTTGTTAGATTTCAGGTAAGATTTGTCACCGAGAGCGATATACGCTCAGACATGTTTTAGCTGCTAAAAAACAACCAGAAAGAGAAACTGTTTAATTGTGATTTCGCCATTTTTCTGGTAATTGGTCTCCTTACAAACGTTCATCTCCAAAGTTTCTCCTGGTAATTTTTGTACCACTTTGTTTTTTGTGCCACAACTGTTTGTGCCACAACTGTTTTTTTAGCCGCGAGCTATACATGTTCAGCGAGCAATAGCCTCGGTTTGGGAATTCAATTATTTTAAGTTCATCTATATTTAAACATCTGCATCTGTCTATTGAATATAAATCTACTTTTTTTGAACAATTTGCTAACAATTTTCTCCTCGAACTAACTCCCAACCTCCAAATAATGGCAGCTGATTGCATTAGCAGTACTCCATTCAATGTTTTTGACGTATTGTTCCCCCCCCCCCAAAAAAAAACAAACAAACAAGGATTTGTCGAATAATCCGACCAGAAAATGTGAACACGGAGGCGAAGCGGAGCTTTGCATCATTTGCAACACAACGCAATCACAGCATTGCAAGCTAGCAAACAGAAAATTAGATTAAAAAAAAGAAAAAAATCAAAATTCTTGAGAAAAATTGAAAAAGTTTTCGGAAAAAGAGTGAAAAAAACTCAATCACCACTGTTGAATAAGCTTCCACTTTTACGCCGATATCGACTGAGTGGAATCCATTTGAGTACAAAACACAAAATGCCAAAAAAAAATTTGTCTTTAAAAAATTTTGAGCAATTTCTTTTTGAAAATTTTAGAAGTTTCGAAATCATGTAACTAGCAAATACTATAGCAAAAACGCTTGCATCTGTGATGAAAAATGCTGACAGCACAAACAAAATTGCTGGTGCGCCAACTTGACCGTCAAAACATATGCAGACAAACAAAAGTCCAAAATTTCAATCGAGAAGTTGTCTATTATTGGATACATACTAATAAACGAGACCCGGCCGGGACTCGAACCCCAGTTTTTAGGGTACAAGGCAACCGCGTTACCTAAAGGCCAAATAAGAAGGAGTTTCCAAGTTTTTAATGTTCAAAAATTAAAACAACTTCTCACTTGCTTATTAATGTGTAAGAAAAACTGCTTAAAAATAGGTAAGAAACTAAAATTTACAAAAAATCAATCCTTTGAAGCAACAGGAAAGAAGGTAAGTAAGCCAATAAAATATGAGCTGAAACCATCCAAGCCAATCAAAAATTTTTCAGCGAAAAAAAAAACGAAAGAAAAGATACAACGATCAGGGCTATTACTATTACAACTTGAAGGACTACAGCAAAAACGCTTGCATCTACCATGAAAAATGCTGAGAGCGCAAACTTAATCGCCGGTTTGCCAATGTTGACGACAAAAAAACAAAAGCTCAAAATGTTAAAATTGGTTTTTTTTTCCCAGAATTTTTTTTATTGGATACATACTAAAAAAAAACAAAAATCCGACCGGGACTCGAACCCGATTTTAGGGTACAAGGCGACCACTTTACCTCCAGGCCAAATAGAAATGAGTATCCAAGTTCATAATGTTCAAAAATTAAAACAACTTCAAACTTGCTTGTAAATTTGTAAGAAAAATTGTTCACGGGAAAAAATCTAGTTCCTGATAACGAAACACTTGCTCTAACAAGTGTAATAAAGGAAATTCAAGCATAAAAACTGTTTGGAAAAAAATCTAATTATTTAAAGTTTTTTCTCATGGTCTTGATAATATTTCAAGTAAATTTGTAGAAGTAACGAAACGTTTAAATTGTAGCGAGGAGATCAAATTAGACTACTAAAATTAAACAAGACTGCTCGTATGAGGACGAAGCCCTGAATGTTCTGACTGCTTTTTAAGGAGCAGTAATAAAATTGAAAATTAAATGAAATAAAACAAAATGAAAAAAAAAAAATTTTTGAAACTTTTATGAAAAGCATCACCCCACACGCCATATAAAGTACAAAAGGATTGATTTCGCTCCTTGTAACAAATCAATTATGGCAAATAAGCTTCGTTCAACCAATTTGGAACGATTTCTAAGACGGATTAAATCTCCGTTTAAGCATTAATAGCGCAAAATAAATCGCGCGCTTATTGTCCAAAATTGGCCAAAATGGCAATCTTTAAACCCCCATAACTTTATGAAAAATCATCACAGGTGTAATATATTTTCAAATTTAAGCTCAGGACAACAATAGTTTTTGAATGATATTAAAAAAATTCCGTCTAAAATGGCTAGTATGAAAGTCGAAATTTGTCTGAAGAAAAAAAACCCACTCCGAGCACAAATATTCCGTTACTTTCGTATCGTAAGTCGGAACAATTACAAAACCAAAAGGCTATTTTAGATTCCCAACCGTAATGAAAAACATTTTTATATACAAATGAATTGACCTCCCTGATCTTTTATGAGGTTTCCGAAACCGTTTGTAGAAATATAATCAATAATTCTTTACTTTCGAACCATCTCTTCGTCGGTGCAATCAAGACTTTGAAAAGCTCGGCTGCATGTAAGAAGATTGATAGTTCAAAAACGACTGAAAAAAATATGTCATCGCTCTATTGAAGTCAATCTTTTTTTGTCTTTAACTTTGTAGGTTGAAGGTAATGGAGTGCTAATCAAGGGATGCTCTGACTAATTTCAAGAATCAAGACAAAAATTTGTTGAGCTTTAAAAACTGCGAGATTTAACAGCACGCCCATTACTTCAGTTGATTAGTTCCTTTTTGTCAAGCAAAAACCGGTGCAGGAGACCGTCTGCAATACTAATTATATGCCAAGTATTTATCTAAGTAACCTGAAACGCGCGATATATTTAATGCCTTATCTCTCTACGAGGCCTGTTCCAATGTATGTTGTGGTTTGGTTTCTGATAGAAGGTGTATACGCAATATTTATAGACAGAGGCGAACTGAGCAAATACAAGGGGGAAAGCGCCAAAGGGAGATTTAAAAAGCACAATAACCCTCACTCGTCGTCAACTGCACGCTTCTTTGCGTGCACAAAATTGCAATAATTTGGAATGTAAACTTAAGGGAACCACACTAGACTTGATTGTTCTGTTTTGGATCGAACAAAACCAAATTCTGCAAAAGTTATGCATCTCAAAAATCTCGCAAAATATATTGATTTAAAAAATTTCTGAATTTTAACGTTCAATATCATCGTTGTATTAAGCATGTCGCTTCTTTTTCAGATTCATTGAAAAAAAAAACATTAACTGTGTTAACTTATTAGTAATCGAATTTCAAAACACATGCTTAACTGACAAGGCCGCAAAGGAGTGACACTTAAAGTGGCAACAACTTCTGCGACATGGGTTATAAAAAAGTTGCTTCGCAGTATAACACTAAGCTACGCTTGTGTATTGAACAACCGAAGATCGCCGTACTTGTCGAGTTTTTGGAGAGAGAGAGGCTGGCTGGTCCTCCATTGCTGCTTGTTCTCCGAACGCATGTTTATGTAGCAAAGCTTGAGAAATTATGTCACAGTGAATTTTTTGAAGATGAAAATTGGGCGTATCAGCTGTTCTATGAAATACAAGTTTTGAGCGGAAAAACATGTTACAAAAATGGATGTCACAGATGGACTTTTTATGCTACAAATAAACCCTTTTTTCATTAGCCTTTCTGAGCTTGGAAGAAAAAATCTAAGCTCTAAGATTTCAAATTAAATATATTTATAGACATTCCCGTATAACTCATATACACGTACAATACATTAATGGGCGGTCAAATTGATAAAAACCGGGAATACTCATACTTATTGCACAAAAACTTATGAGTGATATCGAATATTTCAAAATGAATTTGTATAGTTTGTTTTATACTTTGTCTGAAAAAAGGATTATCATATTACAAATGAAACATACTAATACCAAAAAGTGAAGTTAACAACAGTTGTGAGCTCTAACTAATACAAATCTGCATTCCTTGACCTTGAAATTAATAATTAGCCCCTAAAAACCTGATACTTCGCAAAATTTTACCGAAAGAACTGTTCTGTTGTATTATTATTCAACTTTCATATAAATCTAGCTGGTTGTGTAACATCTTCAAATCTCTCTAACCTCAAGAATAATTTTGTTAATCAATAGCATTCCTTGCTGGAATTTTGAAGTTGCCACAAAACCACTAAACATACAATTCAGTTAATCTGTGCGACTATATCAAGTAATTAATTACACAGTCCTTCCATTTTGATGGCATCTCTTCCAAGATCTGCTTCCACTTAACTTCTAATATCGTTTCTGCTGACATTCATTTCTAGTGATAATATGACTTGCATTTTTCTGACGTCACTTGAAAATAAAATTATCATTCCATCCAAAAATTCTTCTCTCCTTTCTTTTTTTTTTTTACTTCAGACTCATTTTCATCTGGTACTCCTGCTCGACTGCATCCCATGCTGACTCATCCCAGGGGTTGTCCAGATCTTCATCCAGTCCCTTCGCTTGGTCCCTGGATCCTCCTCGGGCTGATCCAGATTTGGGTCTGCTCGAGGATGTATTCGAGGTGCCAGAGGAACCCCAGTCGTCCCAGGAACTGAAAGAGAATTCGACCAATAAGTTAAATTTCACTCAAATTCAATACTCTATAAAACAATTTTATTAAAGTAAAAATCTCTACACAACTTTCAATACAATTTGTGACTTAGCGGATGAACGATGGATCAAAAACTTCAGCGAAGAAGGGCTAAGAATATCATAGAACTCTTTTAAGTTCGAACAATTGGTTTTATTAAGTTGGATAAAGACTTCCGATTCCTCAAAAAAATTATGCTAGCCAAAGTTAAATTTCAAGATCTGGGATTTTTTTGGGCACCAAATTCACCTTCCGTTTAAAGAATATCAAGAAAAAACTGCAATTTGCAATCACGAATACTTTAAGATTTATCAAAAACAGGACATCATAATTGCAACTAATTATTACTCTAGGCTTCTACATACCTATCATTCCAACCATCCGCCGCACTATTTCCATTCTGACTGCTTCTCGGCTGCTTATTGGAACTAGACGAGCCATAAAAGGAACTGTGCTGACTGAAATCTCCTGCTGAGTTGTCATTGTCGCCTGTGTTTCCACTGTTGTAGTTGTCCCCCGCTGATTGGTAGGAAGGGGTCGTTGAGCTCTGTTGACCTTGACCGTATGGGTCACTCCACATTTTGAACCCCGTCTCTTGAACCTGAAATTTACTTTGTATCAGTTTTTAATCGTTTTTTTTTGGTCGAATATTGGAACTTTCGACTTTGAACAATCAAATTTTCAAACTCGGAATTTCAAAACAAACTGCATGAGCACTTGGTTCCAAACTAACTGCTGTTACAGACAAAACTTGCCCATTACATTGACTCTTGTCACTTTAAATTGAAATCTTTCGGAGGCTGTAATAATGGCTCTAAATGCCAAATAATTTTGGTTAAGGAAGCAGTTCACAATTCATCGGGAATTTTGCACCTGGACTTTCAAACAATGGTTTAATACTTCGACTATAAATACATACGCCTTTTTAAATATATGATACTGTAGTAACAGAACGGCAAATTATCAACGAAGATAACAGAAAAGTTTTTTTTCCTCGAAGGCACTCATGCATATAATATTTTATAATAATTTCATCATGCTTCATGATAGTCGCTGCAACGATTACAAGTAGTATTTTTAAGACCATTTATCCACGGGGGAAAGGACCAACACAAGAGCTGTACAGCTCATCACGGCGAACCGCTGTTGTGCCCTTGTTTAAGAACTACATGCTATTTTTTTTTGGTTATTTTTCTGGGCTGGGTAATGTTGCTTCACCCTCAAGCAACGAGCACGGATCATGGTGGGCCTCGAACATCCGACCTTTCGATTAAGAGGCGGAGACGTAACCACTTCACCACCGCTCCCCTTTCAGACACACAAACTTTGGGCAAACTAACTTTACTTCTAGTGCCATCTAATTCAATTCTCCTAAATGAGCAACCTAATTTTGAACTCGCGATCATGCAATGTGTTTCAGCTGACCATACTTACATTAGCCTGTTACAATGAAAGCTGGTTACTATGAATGAATTTAATTCGAAAGAAGCCACAACATCAAGACATTTCAGAAATTAGTACGTTAGACCCTAACCATAAGAAAAAAAAGGATGCAAAAAACTTGTATTAATATAAGGTTTGACAAGCAGCCCAAAAAACACAGCTTTCGTAAAATACAAAAAACACATAGCTTTCATAAAATCACAAATTACTTCTTAACTACAGAGGCAATAACTTTTCTTCTATTTATTTTGAAGAACAATTTAATTCGTGGAAGAGCATTGATAACACAGAAGTGAAGCTGCACTTCGCAAACACCGGCAAAAAGAGCAAAGTGGAGCTTTAAAAAAGCAAAAAATAAGAAAATTAGATTAAGCCGAGTAAACGGGATTCGAATCGCGGACCTTCGGATTATGCAGCATTGTCTTTCTGAGTGCACCAATACTTCTAGCTCCCATACACAACTTTCACGTCAAAAAATAGTCAAAATCAGGCACTCTAATAAAGCGGAGAATACACAGGCTACTAAACCTCGTCAGAAATAAAACTGAGCACAAAAGTGTGTGAGTGAGGTTCGAAATTAGTCATCTATTCAATTTTGCCTGGAAATATCATTTCGCTCAATTGAGAAAAAAACTCAATCGATAGTTGCTGAAGTTTGAATGAACTCAAAAAACCGATATAAGTTTTTTTCGATCCCGTACGCCTTTGAAAAGATCTTACAATCTCAAGCATAACTTATGTGATTAATCACTGTTTGATAAAAGCTTATTTTTAAAGAAAAAAAATCAATGATTTCCTAACAAGATTAAAAAGAAGTTTTCATAGGCCAAATAAGCTTATAAGTTATTAAAGCTAGTTATTGAAGTTCACCGACCTCTCAAATTTTTCTTTTGATTTTTTCTTCACACTTATTTCGACCAGTTTTTGCACTAAACCGTATTTGTTTTACAATAGATTGCCATCGTATCTATATTTAGAAACACTGACCTTGGATGCTAGGGAGGCTGCCCCAGTTCCCAAGTCAGTGAATAGAGTGCCACTTTGGTATTTAGAACTGGTCGGCTTAATTATGTTCTCATTCATCGTAGAGCCCAGTTGACCTGAAACAATTATAAACCCGAGTCAGAACAAAACATTCTCCATTGTGTAGAAAAAAAGGATTCAGTGATATTAAAAAAACTGTGACACTTAGTGAAAAATAATGCTTGTTCAATAACGATGTTTTAATTATTGCTCTCATACATGGGTATAAAAAGCTCAGTATATTTCAAAGAAAAAAAAACAAAACTGAAAGAATTCCCCAGCTTAGCTTTTTTGAAGATCACCGCGGTCAACCGGTCCTATCAACCAAAATAGATTTTTAATTAAAGAATAACAAATATAATAGTTCAAATTGCTAGAATCTCCCTTTTACATTTCCCACTTAGTTTTGTAAGAATTATAGATTTCTGTTATGAAAAAAATAACCAAAAACACGTAGACTAACCTGCTCCCTTCTTGGCAACTGTGCCCAGTTTGACTGCGTTGTCTTTGGCCACTGAGCCCCACTTGTAGGCAGACGAGGAGAGAGCACTCAGACCCTGCGAATGAAACTAACGATAACTTTAACTCCCCCCCCCCCCCCCGTACACTGTTCTGCGATCTAACACTAACACACTAACAGGATATGAATAGTGCTTATTAATCAAGTAAGTGTTACCGAGTATAGTGATCCAGTGACTCCCTCCATTTGGCTGTTCTGGGGTTCCTTCGGAGGGGCACTTCCGAACCCCACATACTTGCCACCTTGGCTAGGGGGAATGTCACTGAAAGAAAGATCACCAGTACAATCACAAAAAATCACAGGGTACTTAAAGCTTCTTAGGGTACTTAGTCAGTATATTTTCCACAATAACTTTCCTTTTTTGGTCTTTACCATAAAACTGCCAGCCACATTTAAAATACTTGGCGGCGAAAAACAGCTACTTCGTCATATCACTTCAAATCTTTTGTTCAATGCTTATAGTTATCAGTTTACTCTCAGCATTCTATTAAGTCAACCCTTGAACTTCGATTTTGAATTTAATAGGCGAAGCTTATAATCAATCATCAAAAATTCGCAATTAATGGTTTTGAATCCATAACATTATAAACAAAGCTTTTCAGAAAACAAAATTTTTAGAATTCCAAACTTTAGATACTGTTGAACTTTTTCGTAACTTCGATTGATACTGCTAATTTGTAAATTAGAAATCAACTTAAACTCTCAACAAATACATTGAAATTACTTACTCGCGTTTGCTCTCATTTTCGTGCTGTAATCTGGTGAAGAAATCATCCTTGCTCTTCAAGTGGGCGTCACTAAAAAAATTTTAATAAAAAAAATATGCTCAAAAAATCAGTACGTAGTTGGTTTCTTGAAAATTAAACGATTAGAAATTAAACAAAGATTTTTCTTAACTCCTCTCTACTAGTACGTGCATCAAGAACACGGAATCGCATAAAAAACATATACAGCATAACTACCAAAATTCTGGTTGATTCTAAAGACAAGGAAGATACATAATTGATGCCGAATTGTTGACAATATTGTTGACCTTGCACAATTAATTGAGTTTTTTCGGTGACCTTGAATCATACTTTTTGTCTGGAAAATAGCTTTTGCTTGGATTAACTTTCTGAATTAGATCATTTGCTCTTTTTATTATATCTTTCCGTTTAACTTTTCGCAACTTTATAAAGTAAGCAAAAACATGTACCTGCTAAGGAAGTCTTCCAGACTGTCTTTGTCCAAATTAACATTACTGTCAGCTGGTCTCACAGAAGACACTCCATTCTTGTTCACTACTTTCAGTCCGGCTGAGCCTGCTGGCTTGTGTGGAATGTAACTCTGGGCTGGGGAGGTCTCTTCAGACCAGGCGCGACCTTCAGCTAGGGTCGAGATCTGGAGAAAAAAAATTGATTATTTTTTAGCAAATGTTATTTATCATCAAGATTATCACAACTGATTCGTCCACAAACGAAGTAATCAAAGTACGAGCTAAAATTTTTTTTCATTAAAAACAATTTTGTGACCATGAATAAGATAAATGACTTTGTGATCCTGACCAAAGGCTCTCCCCATATTAAAACATGAAAAACGAAAAAAAAGATTACACAAGTATTTTCTTCCTACAGAATATGAACAATTCACACAAAATGTGATTACACACGAGATGAGACTCCATGACGTCAGCCCGAATATGGTCCCTTTGCACATTACGCATGTAATTCCACAAGAAAAGATATCAATTAAGAATAAAATAAGATCATAGATCCGCTGTTCGCAATCTAATATCGTAACTGACCTTATCTCGATAGAGTGCAGCTGATTTGCTCGCATAAATGTCTGCGAAGGGAGATTTGTCTGTGACGTCACTGCGTGTCTTGAGGAATGATTTGAAATTGGCGTTGCCTCCCACTTTCATTTTATTCAACTCAGCGTCTTTCCATTTATCCATTGTGGTAGATCTGAAACAAAGATTTGTATGATCTTTCTGGATATTTTAATTAAATAACTATTTAGCGGCAGGTAAACTTTAAAATTTGAGATTTCATGAGAATGTTGTTTTTGTTGCGACTAAAACTGAAATACGAAGCTATATTTTGCAAAACCCCTTATTTTAGTATGATTTGCCTATTAAACGTTAACGTTTAGATTATTTTAATTGAAAAAAAACATATCGACATGAGTTAGAGACCTACTATCTGTAAGATGTCCACAACCATTAGACATAGATGTTCGTTTTCATGTGCCTCTGAGTGCATGATGTATATAAGTTTCTCTACCTTGTCTATGATTCAGAAAAATAAGACCATTCGCGCTAGAGGAAAATTTGCAACATAAGAGCTGTTCAGCTCTTCACGACGAACCGATGTCATGCGTCGATTGAGATCTATATACAATAATGAAACTGAAAGAGTTGGTGACTAGCCTGACGAAGCTGATGTGTACTCCCAGTCCCCTGTGTTTGCCACTGCACTCCAGACAGATCCAGATGCCATAGGACACACTCACCCACTGCGGAGAAAAGGTACCACAGTCGAAACATCTCTAAACCACAACCACACAACATCATCAAAACATAAGAACAGATTACACGTTCGCCTTTATTTGTTTGATCTTTCTTTACATTCAGAATTGATATAAAGTGATCAAAGTTGATATAAATAAGATTGAATATGTAAACAGTACTAACAGCAGTGATGCCCATTTAAAAAACCAATTTAAATTTATATAAATTTTCATTTTAATTTCAATTTTTTTTAAATATGAAATTATGAACCTACTCAATTTAAATGAACAATTTTAATTCAAATCGAGCAATTTAAATTGAAAAAAAAATTAAATTGCTCCGGCGGTGTTTGATTCGACGCCAAAGTACAGAGTTTACTCATGATAACTAATTTCACAGTTCCGCGGAAAAAGCAAGCAATCTAAATTTTCGCGACAAATTTGAAATTTTGTAGCAAATCGATATGCCCAAAAACATTGATTTGGAATTCTTTTCACAAAATCACAAAAAGTCCCCAAAATTGGCAGAAAAACTGCTAAAAACCAGACTGAAGGAACATTTAAATTTATAAAGAAAAATTTAAATAGTTTCGGAAAAAATTAAATTGATGCCAACAATTTTTTTAAATTTTCTTAAACAATTTTAATTGAAGTTTCAATTTTCATTTTTAAATGGACATCACTGATTAACAGTAGCAATTCATCATTGAAAGGATACGGTAACAAGATCAGCTGATCTGATTCAAGCCTACCCGCATTAGTTCGGATAAGATTGATTTCGGCATGTTTGTTTTTAAGTTCCCTCGTAGGTAGAAACAGATAATTCTTATTGATAGTGAATTTTAATTCCTGGGGGTTATGCTCATGACCGAGCTGTGAATGATCACTCATTGTGTTTTCAGACCATTGAATTGTGCAGACTTTTCAAAACACGAAAATGGTGAGAAAAATACTTTGCTGATGATGATGAATTAGCCTAAATTGCTCTAAAGTTGAACCATCTTTTGTGATTGCCACTTTTTGACAGAACTTTTTGACAAATGTAACCTAAACTGTACAACCTTCCAAATACTCAATTCTGATTGGCTTATGCAACTGTCTATCAATAGAGCATTGTGCTATGAGAGGCTCTTGTGCTTTCCACACTTACATTGTTTTCTTGAGTGAGCCTCAAGTCTTTGAGCACATTTCTAGTCCTGGGACTGGCCATGTTATGTATTGGTAGAAGGATGGCACAACTCAACACAAGGCTGCCGCTCACAAACTTACATCTAGTAAGGTCAACTCAATCCATAAGTAAATAGAACATTAACTCTGAAAAACAAAGAACCGCATACCCAGATTGATTTACGATATATCTTTCTGAATCGTTTCCACTCAAGTCAACATCCTCCCGCCTCCCCCCAGATAGACCCAGTTAAGATCTTCCACCCCAGCATTTAATTCGCATTAAAGTTGCTAAGCTCTGCGTGTAAAATGCTCGATTCGGATTGGCTGAAAATTTCCCAGTTAGAACCAAGTTAACATCCTACCCCCCCCCCCCCAAAGGCTTTGGGGGGATGTTAACTTGGCCCGAATACTGTTTAAGGAAATTTTCTTCTGCGCATGCTTCGCAAGTAATGAAATATAGTCCCTTCTACATCGTCCCTTCCCCCTCAAATACAATTAAATGCAGGAAAAACTAATCTAACAAATGTACATCTAATTTAACAATTTTTTTAAGTATTGAGTTTCAGAAAAACAACAATTTAGATCTTACGGAATTTCAATAATTTTTTTGACAAAAATAACCCAAATTGAGAAAAGATACTTTTAAAAAATTTTGCCGGGAAATCTGAAAATTTGAATTTTTCGCACCGTCCGTGATTTGCCATCCAATTAGAAGTTGATTTTGCAGTCAACTTTGAAACAATCAAACGAGCTAAATAAGTGTATAATCCATTCATTAATGGTCTTTTCTACCGCTTCCCGCCGCATACTCATTTTAAAAACATAAACATCGGTGGATATTCAACAAACCACCATATCTATAAACCACCATATCTTGAAGCCGAAACTACATCACACTTACGTAAATTACATAAGAATTACGTAACAATCGCATAACAACAATGGCAATTTCAATGGAAATCTGTTGTTATGTTACATAATAATAATTTTTTTCGGCTTGTGGTTATCTCATTTTCGGTTTGTTGTCCATTTGACTTGTTGGCATACCACCTAAATATCAAATTTATAACGATGTTTCCATTGATTTAACAAAAAAGCATAGGACAAAATGTGTTTCAATTGCATTATGCACATGCAAGACAACTTCATGTCAATTGGACAACATGGAATAAAATTAGGAACTCCGAAAATGGCATGTGGGTGCGAAACGGTTCAAACGCGACTACAATTTATGTGAATTAAGTAGCCGGAAAAACTTATTTGCTCGAAATTTGCCCATTTGTTAAAGTTCAAGCGACTATCGGAACCCAGGGGGCTTGACATTAAGGTAGTTACTCCATCCTACAAAACTTTAGAAGTTCTGCTAAAAATCTACAAAAAAATGTAACCTTCGTACAGCAAATTTTCAATGAAGAACGCCCATTCTGCATATCAGCGGTAGTAGCTTTTCCTGTAAATTTGGCGCGAATATATTTTTTGTTTGTAGATACAAAGCATCTCGGTCAAATATCTTGATCCGACATTAAACTGAGTGGTAATGCATAATACTTCATATTATCTCAAAAAAATCCACTATAAACTCTGAATCAGGTAATTGGCTCGAAAGATAAACCATATTAGATCCCTTTCAGCGGCAACAAGCGTGTTACGCACCTCCGGTGCTTCGAATTTTTGACAACTCATGAAAAACCGCATATATTGGATACCAGATCTGCAGGCTTTTAGTGTTCTCTGACAGCACCCAAAAACAGGGTTGGTAATTTCTTAATTTATGAACTTTTTCTGATTTCCAATTTTCCATCAAATCTCAAAAACTACGAATAATTGAGTAGTCATATTTGGAGGTAAGATTTACAACTCCTGGGAGTACCCTGACAGCACCCAACTACAGGGTAAGGAATTTTCATTTTTGAAAAAAATATATAGTTTAATTTTTTTGAAAAAATCACAGAAAACGTCATATCTCGAAAACTACAAGGATTTGAGAAGTCATATTTGGAGCCAAGATTCGCAACCCCTGAGAGTACCCTGACAGCACCCTACTACAAGGTAAAAACTTTCAAATTTTGAAGAAAAAAAGATATATTTTTTGAAAAAATCACAAAAAACGTCATATCTCGAAAACTACAAAATTTTGTGCCGTCATATTTGGAGGCAAGATTCGAAATCCTTGAGAGTACTCTGACAGCACCCAACTACATGTTTAGGGGACGTTTGGTAATTTTTTTTTGTAATTTGATTTTCTGAAAATTTTTGAAAAAAAATCACGAAAATCGTCGTATCTCTTACACTTAAAGGATTTGAGCATTCTTAATTGGAGGCCGAATTCGCAACCTTTTGGAGAATCCTGGCAGCATCCCGCTATTGGGCTGCTGATTTTAAACTCGGAGGAATAATCACTGAATTCAAACTGGAAAATCGAAAATCTTAACCATTGCAATATACGATATAGCTTAAACGTGAAAACATTCTCTCGTTAAACATGCAAAAATATGCTTAAACGCGGCGAGATAATAAGCCTGCATTTAAATACATAATAGATAAACGATTCGAACGATATTTTAAGAATTTTCAAAATATTGTCCCAGTGTCGAGAAAAATTGGTTTGACGTTTTGAAATTTAGTCTAATTTCGATCGAGTAACGTTCGTTATCTGCAAACTAGACATAAAAGCTCAGAAACCAAGTTTTTGTTCTAGCCTGAAAACTTCATTTGAAACTCCTTAGCGCTTCCTTGGCCATTGAAACATTCTGAAAAAAAAATTAAAAATGGAGCCAACAAAAAAATTTTGGATATTTTTTTACTGAATACAAATTTTGTCTGTTTTTCATTTTTTGATGCCAACTGTTCACTTCATGCCTAATTGGCTAAATTTTTCCACTACATGCCTAATTGGCTAAATTTTTCCATGTTCGTACAGTTTTTTCATCGCACTATGGACAAAAAAAAAAGACAAAATGAACAAAAAGAAAACACTTTTTTTGTATTTGTTTCTTATGATTAAGATCGGAACATTATAGGCTACTTGCACAATAACCAGCTATCTGCGTTTGAACTTTTCTATGACAGCTTGAATTTTTAAAATTAGCGTAGTTTTATAGAAAACATGTCAATAATTATGAGGTTTTTGAATTTTATTCTGTTAAAATAGTTTGTTTTGAGACTCGTCGGTTTAGAAAAAAGAAGAACTCAACGATTGCAGTAGTAATAAGAGTTCGGCATTTGCCTGAGATTAAATAAATTGCATTTTCATTTTCCTAGCCATAAGAAACATTAACCCAAACAAGCAGCTAGCAGCACAGAATATTACGACCACATTCATAAAACTTTTTATGGCCAATACTAAACAGCAATGCTTAAAAACTACAATGCTTAATACTAAACATACAATGCTTAAAAACTACTGTTCCTGGAGTAAAACTAAGTTTTTCAACACCTAAATGAAAAATGTTCTTTTACACAGAAGGAAAGCTTCGCTTCGCAAACACTAGCGAGAGCACGGCAAAAAAGCAGCTCTAAAAAGAGCAATAAGAAAAATTAGAAATAGTCCTTGAATTAATAAAAATTCGGCTACCTGTCGGTTCCATCCAATGACCTTCATATTGTGAGTCAGATCCACCAACCAGCCAGCCACGGACGCTTAAGTAATCACAAATAGTAGCCGCAAATAAAGTAGAAAACAGATGCTATGAAATTTTCAATGCTACAGATCGTCATTATAGCAGAAGTGCCAAATAAGTCAAGACTTTCAATGAACACTTTCATTCGCGAGTTAGGAGAGAAAAAAAGATTCTTACTAATACGCTACGCTCAAAGCTCGCTAGTAAAATGACACCTACTTACTCGCTCGACTAAACAGGTTTTTCTCGACACTGGAAGAACTTCTTAATGTCGTTCAAATCACAACTGAAAGGGCTTTAATGTAAGATAACACTCGACCCATTCCGATGATTATTTTTGTGTAGAAAACAAAAACTTGAATACCCGAAGACAACGTTCCATCCCATTTTGAATGGTTGGAAGAAAAATATCAGTAAACTTTTGGAGGTCCTTTTGAAAATGCTATAAAACATCTGACAATTCCCCGAACTGATACTGCAACCAACCACCGTTAAATACTTGAAATGCCCAATTCTAATCCTTAAGGCACACATAATTTGCTTATCTCATATGACAGTCGAGTGCGTAAGACGCGCGAACTTAGGCACACGTAAAAAGATAACAGGCTTCACAGAAAAGCTGTAAGCCTAGTCAGCAGAGAATTGTCAAAGTGTCAATGAACCAAGAAGCGCCAAAAAAATGATGAGCTCAAGGGCAGCGAAAAACGATACAAACTTGAGAATCAACAAAAAAATCTATAGCGTTAAAATTCTTCGAATTTCGAGAATCTTTTTGGATTGACACTTTAGATAAAAATAACAATGTTTGAGAAAAAATGGATCAAGGGTAATATTTTATTCCGCTTCCACGTTTTCTTGCGTCATTTTGTTTTTGTTATTGGAGCGTTATTTCTCTACCTTTTTGCAAACAAATTTCAAATAACTGTAAAAACAAAGCAAAAGTGAAACTGCAAAAATGAAGTTAGCACGTAAATGAACTTTTCCTGAAATTGTTTTTAAAATCAATACGACCTATGAATTTATCTTCACACGAGACGAAGCGGGGCAACAAATATAGAAAACATAAGCCTTAAAAAAATCAAAATAGTCAAAAAAGTTTTAAAAAGTAATTCTACTAACATGCAAACTTTCCACTGTCTCGATAAAAGATCACTCTAGACAAACATGTCAGACAATTTGAATATTAATTTAGGGGAAACAAAGCCTACGAAGAGGAAACAAAGTCGACAATCTTTGAGCACACAAGTTCAACCGAAAAAAAAGAGTTTATAAGTCCCCATTGATACTACAATGAACAACACTAGCATCTGCAACTATAATGGCAGTTGCTTACGGCACAAGAAGAAAATCTTCGAGCAAATACTAGTTCACCTGAAAAAAAAATATTATTTTTTATCTCTAAATCCATCCCTGAAAATTACACTGAAAGTTGCTCACACCAAAAAAATTGGTGATGTGGCCACTAAGCTGACATACTTTGAGCAGACACTTATTGAACCAAAAAAAATTATAGAAAAAAAAATAAAATCTTTCACGTCCCTGCCTGAAACATGATTGATCAACAATTGCACTTGCAACTGCAAAAAAGTTGCTAACATCAAAAACAAAACCCGTTATGCAAGAAAAAAACGAAGACAGACCTGGAACCGACCCGACCTTAGAGAAGGAACATAGAAATGGGAAAGAGTGAATAGAGCGGCCATGCACGGAAGAAGTGAACAGAACGGACATGCTAACTGATTCAACTGCTTTTGTTTAAGTAGTTGTTAACCCGAAAAAGTCTAAATTCCGATTTAAAAACGCTTGCTAATCGCAAGCGTAATAACACTGAAAAATCTTCTGTGATCCACAAACTTTTGATCGAATGAATAAAATTTGAGAAATTATAACTAGTGAAATATTTTTTATTACCGCAGGGAAAATCAAATGTCGCGAAAAACAGTTGAAGTGTCATTGAACTCAATTGTCAAATACTTCTAAAACCGTTTCCATTCTTTAAGAAAAAATAATTCACCTTTTAACTTCATGAATAACCTTTTACGTTTGAGATTTATGATAAAACTAGCCCAATTTAAGAAAACTGTATAAATAGGTGACATTCTTTATTACGCTGGCAATTCAGAAAATTAGAATCCTTTTTTCAAACTATAAGTTTGTCATGGAAACTTTTGTTTCTGATGCTGGACACAAAGACTGCCTGTTTATACAAATAAAATTAAATTACTGAAAAATCAGTTCTGTCAAATTTACCAAATCGCAAGAGTTTTCAGTGATCCAACTTCTGACAGGTACTTTGCTACAAAACTCCTGTTTCTCAATGAAAAAATTTTAGAACAAAATTGAAAAATAAGAAAAATTTGAGTGATCTATGATGAGCGATTCTAATCGAATACATTTAAAAACCATATAACTATAAACGATGAAATCACAAAATCTCGTCATATTATGCGACGAATAAATAGAGCTTATAATTTTAGAAATAAAATTAGCTATTATACAACACTAATAGATGCAGCTAGTTTTGAATTGTTTTCGTAAATTAGCACCGGTATTGACTCTTTGTACGTAACTATTGCACCTTCATAAGAGCCAAACGGCTCCGTATGCCCAAATTGCAAAAACGTGAACAAATTTTTCATCACCATTCCATTCTTTCCTTGCTCTTTTAATGCGTTTAGTTTGACTGTTGCGCATTTTTTGGCACGAACTAATCCATCTTCAACAACAGAACTTTTAACTCGATTTGGCGAAATTGTACTGTTCCATTTGTTGATAAAATTGTCCAAACTTGATTGTGATTTGACATTGAAACTATCGCAATTTGCAAAGAGAAATGAAAGATGGGATTTGTATGCTTCAATTGTTGCGACGCCTTCGAGTGGAAACGAGATACCTAAAAAAACTGATAATTGCACAAAATAACTAATGTGCTCAGATCCTTCCAAAATAAAGACTATATTATACAGTGACCAACAAAACGATGAATCAAACTCGCTTGAAAACAATAACAATCCGAGTTTTTTTTTCGGAGCTCGTTTTTCTTCGAAACTTTACCGAATTCAAGTAATTTTTGAACAGACCAACAGGCAAGCTGATCAGCTCTTTACAGTGTGCCTTAAACAAGACTTACATGTAATTTCTCTGCTGAATTTTCTGAGCTAGGCAAAGTTACCTGACCCTCAAGCTTGAGCATGGATCGAAATTGAAATGTTTTTTTTTCTCTTTAGAGAGAAAGGGAGTCTTTCCCATCAACCACCCTCCATAATAGTAAAATTACAGTTTGGAGGGGATTTTTTTTGTTACTAGCCTGGGAGACTACTATGTACTATATGAAAGACCCGATAAAATCCTCTTACTGAATGGGTTTGTTAGCAATGATGAGCTCTGCCGATTGTTCACGAAAAGTTTATGTTTGATCGTGCTCAAATCAAACGCGTCCGGGACTCTATTCAAAGCCACACGTGATACACCAGGTGCGACAATTACCCCGTCACTTTTCGGTTTGACCCATCCTTCGTACCAATTGCGACCAGAGCAGCACGACTTGAACAGGAAAAAGGAATACAATTGATAAGTTTAATTGGTGGCTTATAACAGCTACCATTTACACCAGCCAAAAATACCTAATTGTTAAGTAATAGTTGTGTAAAAATTAAATAACATTTACGAAAGTCATGCAAATTTAATTAATATGACGCAACTTTATGGTTGTTTTATACGCATTTGCGGTTGATATCAATTTTCGGTATGAAATTCCTCTTAATTTCAGGAAAATTTGAAGTTCAAGGATTATTTTACCTTGAAAATCTCCTTCGTCTTCGTCAACGAATCGTATAATTCGCGAGTCAGCACCCATCCATAAAATGGGTATTCTTCCATCCTTATCAACGAATTCCCAGGAAAATTTGTGCCGACAAACGAGTTAGGGTTAAATGCTGTAATTGAGATTACATCTGTATTCAGACTGTACAGCAAAGGCGATGTTTCGAATATGAAATGGAGAAAATCTGGTTCCACTTGAACTTCAGCTCCGATTATTACTGCTTGTTTCACTTGTTTGTTTTCGAATACACGAATAAAAGCGTCCCTGAAAAACAAGTTGATTGAGAAATAAAAAATTCTTTTCACACAAAACCCGGATTTATTGAACAAATGCTATCTTGCTGAGACTTCAAAATTTCATACACATTATTTAGCAATAGCTTAGAAAATTTGTAAAACAACTGAAAAAAATCTGTTCAACTCTACCTGTAGGGCACTTCGAAGCACTGTGTTTTGCGGTAGTCGAAAATTAGCACATTGAATCCGAACATCTCCACTATTTCGGTGAACTCGAGGATGAAATCGTTTTTGCACAGAGCCACGAACACAATTTCTGGTCTAAGGAAATGTAGCAACTTTTTCACTCGCACTTGACAGTATCAAAGGTCATTAATGGAAAAAAGAACAGGCCGTCTTTTACCAAACCACTTTTTCTCTAAACCACGTAACAATAAATCAATTGAAATGCAAAAATATAGCCAAGAGGCAGTTGAAAGGGTCAACGAACGCAAGGGATCTACTTAACAATCTCCACCCCTTTCAAGAAAGGGGGACATTGTTAAGTATATCAAAATTGTCGATTTTTCGACCAAGCAGAATGCAGCAAAACTCGAATTCCCAATCTCAATACATCCTCTAGTGCTAATTTACTGTATTCATTTATAGGGATAGAGATTCTTAAGTAGGTGCCATAGGGGGGGGGGGGACAGATTATTAAGTAGATCCAACGCAAGTAAACAAAAAAATACAGACTAGTGTTTTGAAAAAATCTCAAGTTCCGACCTTTCAAGAAAAAATTGATACCCTTGAAGTATCTTTAAGGCCCTCTAAAGCTCTTTGAATTTCTAGAAAAATTTATGAATGGCCTTTTTTTGATATTTTTAAACCCAATTTGGGAAAACTGGATCAATATGTGAAGTTTTCATTCCGCTGAGAAATCCGATATTTAAAATCCATTTTCGAAATTCGAAGAAAATTACGTTTTTCAGGACCTTTATACTTTCATGGTTCGATAGTGGAGTTTGTCTTCCTTTTAACAAAGCAAACGAACTGAAGTAAAAAAATTCAAAAGTCAAACCGCGAAACAGTAAATTTTAGACTGAACAATATTTTAGACTTTACTTGAAAAAAAAAACGATAAATCATCGCGACCTATATAAGAATCTGAACTACATTCATCGACTCCTAATCAAATACGGATAAGCAAGAGACAATAACTACCCCATATATCATCTTGAAGGTTTCTATCAAGTAATTTACAAACACTAGTCAGAACACGACAAAAAGCAGCTCTATAAAGTGCAAAAAAGCATAGAATTAGTTTGAAACAATCAGCTACGTCTGGAATTCGATCTGCGACCTAGAGATTATGAGTCTCACGCAACACTACAGCCACGGACTTTTAATAAATAACAAACACAAACCACAAATAAAGCAGAGAACAGATGCTATAAAAATCTAGACCGCGATTATAGCAAAGTGCCACCGAATAAGTGAACACTTTTAATGAACGCTTTTATTTGCGAGTTAGGCTAGAAAAAAAAGTTTCGTACTGATAAATTAATGCTCGCAAGCTGGCTAGTGTAAACAACAAGTTTAAACATATTTTATGGTTATTAGGGCACTTATCATGATTATTTGGGCACTAACATTGATGGAGATTGGACTGCCTGAACAAAATATGTTTAAGTTAATTGTGGTGTAGGGAGGAGGAAGGGGCTGGCAGTTGAATTGCAACTCACCTGAGATGTGGTTGTTTGGCTACTGACTCCAGTGTTCTGAAGAGGGATACATGTGACTCATACAAGGCCAGATCAGGGATGACTAAGAGGGGACTGGTATCCATAAAGGCGTCCCAGTTGTCAGGTGCAAAACTGGACTGAAACAAAAAAACAGTACTTAAACCCAACTGATTAGTGTAAGCTTTTACCGGAAAATTTAAATGAGCAAAACAAAAGTAACGATAATTTACTTGCATTTATCATACTTTCAGTTAAAACGTTAGTTGCACAAGTAAAATGCATAATTCTGATATTCTTCAACGTCAAACAATTTGATCATCAGCTGCACAGTTGGCCGAGTTTCTTCATGAGGCAGAATTCTCTTACAACAATTACTGTTCTGCTTTAAGTCTCTAAAATTATTCTGTCTTAGGCTCATGACAAAGAAATCCTGTCAGTTGTTTTCTTATTTTTACTTCTGGTTTCGCTTAATTTTGTTAACTCAGTGTATAGCTGAGGTTAAAAAAAAGTTGTAGACTCCGCGACTCGAACCCTCGACCTCACGCTCCTCAAACACCTGCCTTAGCTTCAGGAGGAAATGTGATGTTCCTCTCACATACTTCCTCGTAGCCCATCACTTGATTCTCACAGAACAGGGCTAAGTTGTCATTCAGAGTGTCTATCCACGCCTTCACTGGAATCACTTTTGGAACACATGACTGGATAGCAGCAGAGGGACTGGGATAGTCTTCAGATACCTGAAACTTCAACTTTCCAATTTCAAAGAAAGGGGGGAGATTGTTAATGGATCAAAATGGTCGATTTTTCGACCAAGCAGAATGGAGCAAAATTCGAATTCTCAATACATCCTCTAGTGCTAATTTACTGTATTTATTTATAAGGGTGGATATTCTTTAGTAGATACCATTGGGGGTGAGATTATTAAGTAAATAAAAAAAATTAAATGGCCTTCAAGCTCTTTCTCTTTGAATTTTATTTAAAAAAGTATAACTAACACTTTTTTGATAAAATTAACAATTTGAGAAACTTGGATCAATAGTTAAAATTTTCATTACGGTGGGAAATCTGAAAACAAAACTCACTTTCGAAACTAAAAATCGATCAGGTCTTGCGTGACACTTCGTCTTTTTCACAGTGGAGTTGTCAAAAGGAAATCAACTGAACTTAAGAAATCAAAATTCAAACCGAGAAGTTTTCAGGTCTTGAATCGCTTATCCTTCTACAGAAAGACTTCACGATCGCTATCCTCGCTCGAAATTAGACTGAAACTCAAAAAAATTTTCAAACCAGTTTTTCTCGTCACTGAGAACTTGTTGAATGTTTTATATCGTTCAAATCACGACTGAAAGGTCTTTAAAATGATATATTACTCGACCCATTCCGATGATTATTTGTGGTACCTGATTTTGCGTAGAAATTAAAAACAGTAAAACACCCGAATACAACGTTCCTCACCATTTTTAATGGTCGGAACAAAAATTAACACTTGACCCGAACCCAAGCGATAATAGGTTAAACTTAATTATTTGCAAAATCAAACCGACTTCGATACAGAACCTACTGATCGCCCATGACCTCCAGCTTTTTTTCATAATTTTTGTTATCAGTATAACAGTTTGAATAAATTTGAGAATATGAGTCGAATCATTCATTCATGAAAACAATCGCCGATTTCTATTGCATTTCAAGTTTATTGATGGTCAACTCAGCTATAGGCAGGCAAACTCTTATATATACGAGATTTAACGCTCAATAATTTACCTTTTTGGGTACTAGTTGTTCGAACACTGATTTGCCTTTGAGGCCCTTTTGGCCAATGAAGACCCAGCTATCTCTGAAAAAAAAAACATTTTTTTTTCTGTTGGGGAGAAAAACATAATTAGCTTATTTATTTAACCCTTTCAATTTTATAAATAGAGAGGCGATATATATATATATATATATATATATATATATATATGCGAAGTCAAAAAGGTTAAAGATAACAGCTAGTCTTCTTTTTGAGAGTTACTGTACCATTTAAAAATGGGGCAAAGCGCTTTCATTTTCGTAAACCCAGTCTGTCCATTTAACACCACGTCCTCGGGTTTAATGAAATGATGAAATTCCTCTACCATGAAGGATGGCTAGGATGAACCACTCACATTTAATGACAAACTGAACCATTTCCAGTCGTATAATTAGTGCTGTTTTTTGCTTTGTCAAATTTCAAGGGGAAAGAACGTAGTCATTTAAGTTTTGAGCCAGCCGTGTCAATGTGTAATCACGCGTATACAAACGGAGGAAAAGAAAAACCATAGAGAAACACGAATGTGTTAGAAAAAAAAATTCATCAATTCATCATACCTTTTGATGATGATTTATCAATTAAGCTCGCTCAATTCCGGGCTAAAATTATGAAGTAAATAGTTTTAAAAGGCACAAAATTCAACAATTTTGGCAAATATCGAAGCTCGAATTTTCACATTTCAAAAATTTCAATTGGATTGAACTCAATTAAAAACCAAGCCAATATGTCCAAATTTTGAAACTCGTATAAGCTTCCAATTTTAATGATCATCAACCAAGGCCACGAAACACCACTCAAGGGTACACACCAATCAGAAATGGATCCAAATTCAGGAAGTAGATATCACAAAACTGTGAAATGAAATGAATGAACTACACATGATTTTTAACTGATTCAAATCATGGATTCGATTTAAAAACTTGCCTTTTGTCAGACGATGGTCTAAGAACGAATTAATCAAAACTATTCAACTTTTTTGTGACTATTGGTTCTATTGGTTAATTGAACTAATTATTGTACATTCAAACAAACTAAAAGATCAGATTATACAATTGTTTCTGATGACAAGTTTTACACAGAGGCTAAGCTGCACTACGCTGACACGCAAAAAAGTGGCAAACGGGAGCTTCAAAATGTAAGTAAAAATAAATTAGCTCTGAAATTCTACGGGATTCGAATCCTAGACCTCCAGAACTACAGTCTAATATCTTCACAATTGACCCATAGCGCCTACTGCCCCCAAACATTAGCCACCAAAAAAATCAGATAAAACACATGCTAGTAAACTGCCAACGCTTAAATCCTAAGCACCAAAAAACTTAATTGCTCACCAGTAGAGATGTTTCGAAAAAATTGAACACGTAATAAAAACAATCGTTTGTTTGTTTAAGATTGATTCCAATCGCAACTTTTGTTTCATTTTTCTTGCAACAAAAATTTACAAGAACAGGTCCCGGCCAGGATTGAGCGTAAGACCCTTATTGTTCTAAGCATGCACAAAATCTCTGTACAAACACGCAGTATCAAATGTTCGACAATGTTTTGTTCAAAAAGCAAGTTAAAAAATGTTATCAAGTGAGCTGTCTCAATCAGATGAAGCTTCTTAAAAGCATGCGCACAATTTTGAGATCATAAAATTTGACAGCAGGAAGAAAAGGCGCAACTGATGATGTTAAGCTGAAGTTAACTTTATTTGATTTTTCTCCGAATTTACCAAGCAGAATTACCAAAAAATCTTTCAGAATTCTTGAAAAGGTGATAGCAACATCTCTTAACATATTAAAACAAATTATGTCCTATCAACAACCTGGCCACTTAAATTTTCGAGTTATTTATCAACATTACTTAGGCTTCGTTGCTATTTTTAGCATGATTGACGTACATACCATCAGTTAAAATTGATAGCAATTTATATCATAACTTGTCATGTTAAGCCAACGTGCCTCGACGTCAAGTAAACAAGGATAGCCAGTTGCTATTTAGGTATGACAGAACTTTACAGTGAGACAACTAATTCAAAAGGAAAATATGACCAACAGACAGTTGGAATAGAGTCAATGAACGCAATGAAACAAAAGGATCTGGCGTAGACAAAATTTAAAATTTTGGAACTTCCTAATAAAAAATATACGGGCTTAAAGCTCTTTGAACTTCAAGAAAAATCTATGGTTGACACATTAGAGATAAAAATTAACTTAATTTAAGAAAACTGGATTAATATGTCAAGTTTTTTTTCCACTGGGAAAAGTGAAGGTTAAAGTCCATATTTGAAACTAGAAGTCATTCATTCACGTTTTTCGTGACCTTTACACTTTTGCTGTTAGATAGCGGAGTTTACCCTCCTTAAGTGGCTTCCCTCATGATGGCGGGACCGACTCTTTTCAGCCGAATTGAGTACTCAAAAATCTCAAAGAAATCGCGAAGATCTCAACAAAGCGAGTAAATCCTGTCCATTAAAATTTATATTGACAGATTATAAAAGAAACCAATACGTGAATTTTACAAATTGCAAAATCAAATTCTGGCATTGGAAAAATTAAAAAATAAAACGAAAAATTCATTGTATATTTGCACGAATTGTACAGCAAAACTTTGCTGTGCTGCTATGATTCCTTTTGTTAATAATGATTTCGGTTTTGCGCAAAAATCATTCAACCAAAAGGAACGCCTAATGATTCTGATTGGCCCCGTTGGAAAACCAAAATTCCAAGCCCGGGTCCGTTTTTAAAGAAAACACAGATTTCCTAACAAAAAGTCAATTTGGCTGAATTTTTCCGCAGAAAGGAGGGCACAGGGAGGAATTGTGAACTCTTTTTAAAGTCAGGCCAGGCCCGGTTGCTGATTTTACAAATAAGACAACTCCGGCCGGTAAAAAGCCCGGCCCAGTTCCAACTCTGATTATGAGAATACTCCCTTCTTTTTAACAAAAGAAATGAGCTGAACTTAAAACAAATCAGAATCTAAACCTCGAAAAATCAAATAAGAGAGTGAACCAGTTTTAAGATTTTTCCTCAAAAAAATCTTCACAACTTTCATCGACTCTTACAAATTGAAAACAAATAGGAAATTTATTTTAAAAATTGGATAAAAAATATTGCATTAGAGGTGACAATAGCTAAAACACCGCAAAAATCACAGCGTAATTAAATTGGAAGTTCATTCTCTGTGTGATTTAGAAGGAAATTTCGGGAAACTTCATGATTCGTCATTTGAGCCATTGAGCTTTTTTGAGGCAGCCAATCGGTGATAAAATTAAACCTATGTCATAGTTACTTCACTTTTGTACGAGATAGATAGAAACAATAACGAGGTATACCTCGTGCACGAAAGACCGAATAGTCGGAAAGTATGCAAGCCAATCAAAACTCATTATTCTAAAATCACTCAGTTTTGAACAGTTTGAAAAAGAGGTTGATTGGTTGACAATTTTCAACCATTAAGTCCTTCGCGCATGAGAATAGCCCATGTAAACTTTTCAAGAAAAATAGTTCAATCAGCAAATTACTAACCGATACTTCATTCTAGCCACAGCGGCACTTCCGAATCTGAACAAAATGCCCTTGACATTGTCACTCAGTTTATTCGATGCCTCATCATGGGTAGCTAACATGACGATGTTCTTCGATTCCAATGACATGAGTGCTTTGTATAAGTTTTCAGCGTCCGCTTTCTTGTCGTACGTGTCATACACTTCGTAACTAAACAGAAAATGGGATTATTGGCGTCGATAATTTGTCAGTCATGATAATTAGTTTAAAACAATAGCCTGTCACTCTGTTGATGAACGTTAAACGAACACTCGCCAGATACCAACTCGGCGAGAATTTAGAGTACTTAATGTGAAAAAGATGCTTTGCGCAACATCACTACGTTCGTCCGCTTTATGAATCGTGTTCAAATGAAAAAAAAAACATACTTTTACTCAAATTTTATTTTAAAAATTCAATCGGAGAAGGTGATTATAGCTGAAAGCAGTACATTGAAAATAAGACAGACACCACAAGTTATTATAACCAGTGACTCACCTTAAGAGAGAAACGTATTTACCTTAACTAACATTTTTCGACAAAACTCAAACTAAGACAAATTATCCATGACGGAAGGGAGCAGCATAACGGGCCGTTTCGGTCTTTAAATAATTCCATGTAAAAACCCCAGGTTAAAATTTATCTAACAGTAATAGTAATGTAAAGCAGTGACTAACAATAACAGAGAAACATATTTACCAATTCGACAAAACCCAAACTAAGACAATTTATCCATGACGGAATGGACCTGTTTACCGGACTTTTCAGCTCTTCACGAAGCGCCCCTGTTTAAGATTTATCTGTACCTCTTTTAGATATTTTTTTTTCGTTTAAGTAAAGTTGCCGTACCTTCACGCAACGAGCACAGACGACAGTGGGCCTCGAACAACTGACCTTTAGATTGAGAAGCGGAGACTTAGCCACTTCACCACGGTTCTACTGGTTGGATAAGAAAGGAAATTGTCATGCATTAAACTAAAAGGCTCACCTTTTGAATTTCCACTGACTGGTGAACACAATCAAATGAAGCCCTCTACTGATCTTCTTGGAACCTCCTTTGTACTCTATTTTGTTCCCATCTACACAATAAGAAGGAAAAGTGTCGCCATTGGATGTCGAATACAGATGAACAGGCACACTGCTTTCATCACATGTTATCACTTTCTCGACCTGTTTAAAGACAAGTTACTTTAGTGGGAAGAGGGGGAGAGAAAGTGATTTATTCAAACATGATAGAAAAAAGGTCATTACAGAGCGAACATTAGTACGAAGGATTTGTTTCCAATTAAGTTATTTTAATTAATCGAAACCAACGAAAGTACACAAAACGTGTACGCGCATATGTACCTTGAAATGAAAAAAGACTATCACAGCATCACACCAGAACAGCACATTTTTTTTTAAATTTTGAGGTCCAGTGTTCGATTCCTGATGGGACTTACATAATAATTTAGTAAAGTAGACACGGATCATCATTGCCTATTAATGTAATGTATCATGTACCTGATTTTGAGAAGCTTCAACTTTGCATTCTTTACCACTCCATTTGGCCACATTTTTGGCTCCCTCTTCAGCTAATACTCCACTTCGCTTGTCTAATTTATCAGTGGGTGATCTACTCTTGTGTGTATGACTATAGTATGTGTTGTTTTTGAGACAGAATGTTCGCTGGAGTTTGTCTAGAATTGTGGTTGATGTTTCGTAGACTAGTGTTTCGGTTGATTTGTCGAAGAGTCCGAAGAAAAGATTGCCTGGTTTGAGCTTCGAGAATGTTTGCGATAAGAATATGCGATCCACTTCATCTAAATGGCAAAGTGAGAAAATTCACGGACCGATTAAGGGGTATTTTTGAAAAATCCCCCCCCCCCCCGCCACCGAGAAAATCTTAGATCTGCCGCTGTGAACATTTGATTTGGGGTTTGGGGTCCAGAAGATTACAAAATTATTGGCATTATCATTTTCGGTCAAAGCGCAGAATTATAGCCAACATACAGTAAGAAAAATATCACTGAATCCCCCCTCCCAAAATACTTTTTTGACCACTTTTCAATTTTCAGTTAAAAAGTGAATGGAACTCATAAAACTTTAGGGGCCTTAAAAAGATTAATGCACTTTAATTTGTTATAACAGACTTACTACTAAGTTCCGTAGCCGGTATCTCGATTCCAGTGTATGCCAGCACAACCAAATAACTAGTTTCTTCAACTTCTTCAAAGAACTCAGACAGCCTAAACAGTTTATTTTTTCACACACTTTTCGGTGAAAACAGGTCGTAATGCTACTTTTTCTTCTTCGGGTAGTCATTAAGTCAGAAAGACTAATTTCACTACAAAGACAGGGTACTTGCTTTTTGGAGTCGACCGAAGAGAAAAATTTGATCCACCCGCAAAGCTTTGAAAAATAAGCTGAAATGCCATTTTTAGGGGTTTTTAGAAAATGTTGACCAAAAATTGCGTTATTTCGACGCACGTATCCCGCTAAAAATTATTATTTGAGACGAAGTTACTTTGAAAACATAAAGAATGGTTAAATCGGCGTCTTGAATTAGTACTAAAAATGAGACCGTGAAAAAAGGTCGATGAAAAATGTACAGGAACCACAAGAGGCACGAAGAGGAGCAGACCCACTTTTATTTTCATCAAAATACCAACGAGTTGCCTACCACCAACTGCCCTTGAAAAAATCCTATCTCAGCGCCTCTCGTTATATCCACGGGTGAAACTGATGAGGTCAAGTTCAATGACAATTATCGTAAGATATTTCACGCCAATAGATAGATGATCAAAAAAAGTCAGTATACAAAATTTTATTCTTATTCTGCAATGGGCCCTGATCGATCATTATGATAATATGGAATAATTAAAATATAATAATCGCTTCATTTACTTACCTGAACAAATTATCGGCCCCATAGCTCTTTATAAATGTCTTCAGATTCAAACTCTGTTCTTCCTTGTCCGCATTGGAAGAATGAGTCAATAGATTTGCAGATGGAACTTCTATCACGTGTAAGAGTGTTGAGAGGTTGGGGATGCTAACTTCTCCAATGTGGTGACCTAGAATATTTCCGAATAAGCGTCAAATGTACACAGAGGGAATGCGGAGAGAGCCACTCCTATCTATCAAAAACAAAGCACGGCAACGCAGTCGATAGACAATAAGATGAAAGCCACAACAACAAAAAATGTACCCAAAATATGCTCGAAAACTACAAATTTTCAGTCGCCACTCTCCGTTTGTCTCAAGCGTAGAGCATTTTGTGAAAAAATTGGAAAAGTAAATTTCCAGGTTTAAATAACGAAGAACAACAAATAACGAGCGGTAACCAAACCGATAATTCTTGTGTTTACGAAAAAATCTTAGCTCAAAGCTAGAAAACTTTCAGAAGTGAGTTTTTACGACTCCACCCGTGAGGAAACACATAAAATTCAATTAACCTATTTGGCTTACACCTTTCGAAAATCAAAAATTATGCAAAATGAGAGTTGTGAACTTACAACAAACAAATGTTGAAAACAACAAAACATATTTAGAAAAAAAAACGTGTATTTGAAATGCTAACATCCGCAAAATAAATCTGCTGGCTGATATCTCAGACAGACGTCTCTGACAAATCAAATCAGTGATATCGTTGAAATAACTGCTAGCTTAAATATAGCGGGCTCTTTTCATTGATTTCCTACAACAAACTGTTGCACAAAATTTCGGCAAAAACTCCTGGAATTCAATATTTTTATTCTATTAAAATGAATAAATAGAGCCAAAGCTGCATTTCACAAACCACAAAAAGCAATGAAAGAGCTTTTTTAAAATTGCAGGAGAATAAAAAAATAAGTAGCAAAATCCCTGAAAAACAAAAATTTGGGCGACAGCGGGATTCATAACGCGGACCTCTAGATTGAACAATTTGCCTCCCTGAGGGAGCCAACTTTCTTAGTTGCTTTGCAGATTTTACACATCTAATGTTAAAAACTACACTAATTAAGCGGATAAAACAGACCACAAAAAATTGAGCGTGAAAAAAAAATCTTGAACAAAAAGTCAGCTCGTATTACAACACAAGCGTTTCTTTGAATACGCATGGCATTTAAAATAAAAAATGTTGCCTAAAAGTTTAAAAGCTCTGAAAGCTCCGATCTGCGGCAAAAAACCTAAGCAGGCAATAGTCCCAAAACTCTTGATAGGAGCAAAAATTCCAGATTTCAAAAAATACGGGCCCTGGTCAGACAAGCCGGACTCGAACCCAAAAACTTTAGGAATCACAAGAAAGCGTTCTACCAGAACTGGTAGAATCGAAGTTCAAATCAAAACTGACACAAAGAAAAGCTGCATTTCGCGAACACAAATGAAAAAACGGCAAAAAGTAGATCAAGAGACAAAAAAGGAGAAAGGAGAAAAAAAGTCAAAAATAAGGATTTGAAATCCTCCCACCTCCACCATTTGCTTCTGCAAAAGTAAAACCTGCCACCAACGTAGTATTGAACCGAACATATGCTATGAAAATATCAATGAGGCAAAAGTTTTACCTAAATGAACGCTATTGTATGCGAGTTGGGTTAGGAATTATTACAGACGTTGCAATATTTAGTTTCCAAGCTTTAAAATGAACAAATTTTTTATGCGTTTATGCCGTTGTCTTTACAGCTACTAAAGATACGGCTGAGATTTTACACATGATGGATGAAACTGTGTTTTTTTTAGAATATAGCCGGATAAAAAACGGCAAAAAATGTGAACCGTATGAATCGGGCCTCATCTTTTTCTTTTTAGCGACCGGTTCTACTTTTAGCGGCCGGCCGGTGATGCAGGACCAACCGTGGGTTAGGGCCTAGTTTAGTTCCTAATATTTCCAAGGACTCTTCTGAGTTAAAAGTGATTCTGCTGTTTGCGGGGACTTTTTGGCATCATTAGGAACAACTCTTTGACGCCCTCTGATTGAATGGCCGAACATCGCCTTAAAAACAAGTTTTCATGGTTTTTTATCCGGTTATGTTCTAAAAAACAATTTCATCCATCAGAAGTCAAAATTTCAGCCATTAATCTCTAGTTTTAGAGAAAACGGCACAAGCAAGAAAAAAATCGCTCATTTCATTGCTTGAAAACAAAAAATAGCAATTCCTATGCCCCGTGACTGTAGTTACATAACACTACAATCGCTGAATCGCTCATATAAAAAGGCTTCAATATGGTATTTTGCTGAACACAAAAACTCTATCCACCACTTGATCGGAAGAAAGAGACCACTCGAAACTTGATGTTCTAAAAATTAAATGAATATAGCCCTTTCGAAACTATTTACAAATCAATGAAAGCCTTGTTCTATACCAAATTGCTTTAACCAACTTCTATGGAACAAGAAAAAAGGGATAAAGTTCCAAGGGATAGTTTATTAAAATATAAACGAACATAGGTAATTTCAGCTCAGCCCAAAGTTCAATTTGTAAAAGCTAATCCCTAGTTTTTTCTATACCAAACGAGAATAGTGCCTGTAAATTAGTCTTACCATCTGAACACAGCACCACTGACTTGGATGCGAACTCTCCCACTATTCCCAGACTGATTTGGCTGTTCTTGTAGCAATTGTGGTCCACTTCTTTACATTGTACGAAACCCTTGCCATCTCTCACGTAGCTTCCTAATGTACAACAGTCATGGTTATTTGATGCAGTATCTAAGGTTGTAACTTACGAAAATTTTTTTCCATCTTTACGTGAGGTTATCATTGCATGGAAAAAATATTAGCAACTTCGGTACATTCAGTAAACATTGACTTTTTTCGTATTTCAGTCTCAAATAGCAGTTTTGTTCATTATAATGAAAAATATGAAGTCTGATATTTTTGGAAAAATGCAGGGTCGAATATTTTGGATTTTCTTATCTTTTTTAACAATTCCCTTCAAATTGAAAACCAGTTTTGTTACATTTGTAATAATTATGATTTCCATCATAATACATCTCTCACGTAGCCATTGCCAAGATTAATTCCATCCCTACCTTTGCTAGTTTCATCTGTCGTTGTTCGATCCACTCTCTTTTGCAGAATAACTGAGAGATAGAAAAAGATACTTAAAAAAAGAAGAATGAAGATGGATTTGCGCCTGAATTTAATCAGCATCCTGATCGTGTTTCAGTTCACGAATGGGTCATTTGGTCAGCTAAGTAAAGACGTGTTTAGACGGTTACTAATCTCCATTATTATCTGAAAAAAACTAGACTGAATCATTTTGCAGGCTATAAAGCGAAGATTGTTATATTGCAGAAAACAAAGCCAATCGTTAGTAAAACTAAACCTGTAAAAAGTTTCATTGGCTAATTTATAACAAAAATTCTCCAAAATTTCAATGATTAGAGCTTCACACAGTTCATCAACACATAAAACAGAGATTTAAATTCGAATTGATTCTAACGAGAAAACTGGTATGAATCAATATATTTGAATTCTAATCTTTTTCCAAATCTAACAGAATGTAATAGGGAATGCTATCGAGTAAGCTGTTTATAACAAGATCTTATCTTATATACAGACTACTTTATCACAGTTTCAATTACAAATACACAACTTAAATCAAAATACAGAAAGAAAGAAATTGCAAACTCAGAGAAGGTCTTTGTGTCAGGCACAGAGCTGTGCTGAGAATTTATCATGTAAAGAGCAAGAGCGGATTTAAGGGGGGGTCTCAAGGGTTGAAACCTGCGACTACCCCAAGAAGCCCCCTGTTGTACGTTTTTACATTCTATTTTATACTAGCCCCATAATTTGGCAAAAAAACTCCATCATACAGTAAATGCGAGGGAAGGTCCTGCCGAAAAGACAAGTTTTCTTGACCAAAACTTTCCACGAAGTGCTTAAAAACATCATCTTTGGTCTGTTTTTTTTTTCAGGTCCCCATTCGAGAAAATCCTAGATCTGTTTGAAAGAAGACTCCCCAAGAATTTAAACACCGTTACATTCGTTTTGCGACAGATCTGAAAATTCATTTAAAAAAACCTTCACGCGTATAAGTAGTATAGCGCAACAAGAGGTCATGCCTGTTTTCGGAGAAAGGTCAACCTGTCAAGATCGCGTGACTATGTTACTCAATTAGCCTAATCTTTTTTTTCTCGGGGGTCGTAATAAAGATCTGATCAGATTAATTTTTTCACCTGCGTTAATTTTTGGGGTATATGACCAGACTCACTGGGGAAATTTTGTCCAATTGTTAATAAGTGGATAACTCTGTGACATCGCTGAGGGAATCAAACTCTTATCAGATTAATTTTTTTCACTTAAATTACTTATCGGGTATTTAACCGGCATCCTTGGGAGTAAAATGTTTATAGGTAATTAGGGTGGATAGCTTAATGACATCACCGAGGGGAAAACAATTGTATCAGACTATTGTTTTCACTTGAATTATTTATCGAACTATTTATCCAGTATCACTGCTCCCTTTTTTGATGCATTTAAAAATAAGGAAGGGAAAAAAATAAATTAGCCAATAGAGGAAGTTCTTGTTCCTTCCTTTTCTAAACTTAAAATCAAATTCATTCTCTCTCATACTTCCAGTTTCTTAAGCAGCCTCTAAGCTAGCTAAATAAATTTCAACTTTAACTTCTTTTGATCTTCTCCTTTAAAATCATGCTGGCAGCTGAGATAGCTCTCGGAAAACGAGAATTCGTGCATATAAACCAGATTGACATGGAAACCAGACGGGTGTGCTACACTACCACTGAAGAAGGAACAACCACAACGATACTTCCTCAGAAAGATCAAAAACTGCGTAAAAGGAACTCATTTGAATACATGCTGGCAGCTGCTGAGATAGCTCTCGGAAAACGAGAATTCGTGCATATAAACCCGATTGACATGGAAACCAGACGGTTGTGCTCCACAACCACTGAAGAAGGAACAACCACTGAAGAAGGAACAACCACAACGATACTTCCTCAGGAAGATCAAAAACTGCGTAAAAGGAACTCATTTGAATACATGCTGGCGGCTGCTGAGATAGCTCTCGGAAAACGAGAATTCGTGCATATAAACCAGATTGACATGGAAACCAGACGGGTGTGCTCCACAACCACTGAAGAAGGAACAACCACAACGATACTTCCTCAGGAAGATCAAAAACTGCGTAAAAGGAACTCATTTGAAATCATGCTGGCAGCTGCTGAGATAGCTCTCGGAAAACGAGAATTCGTGCATATAAACCAGATTGACATGGAAACCAGACGGGTGTGCTCCACAACCACTGAAGAAGGAACAACCACAACGATACTTCCTCAGGAAGATCAAAAACTGCGTAAAAGGAAACGTCAAATTGTGCATCCGATGCAGAGACGGTCTCAGGAGAAGAAGAAAAGAGCAGCAAAAACTGGAGCATTACAAAAACTGACCTCTAACATATATATTTAAACTGTGTGAAGTGAATGATAGTATTAAGATTTTTGATTGTCTTTGTTTAAAAAGTCATTTACTCGTTTTGCTAAATTTCGTCTAATAGAAAGTAATTTAAATATTTTTAGTCGAGTTTTCGCAACAAAAAAAATCCGATATGATACGGTTCAATAGACTAAAATTAAGGAAAAAATTTATTTTGAAACTTAATAAAAAAAAAGAACAGCAAAAATCCTTCCCGATTCTTTCAAATTGAAAATGAAAAAATTATATTTAAACTATCAAACTAGGGTTTTCTTTTTTTTGAAGTCATAATTTAGTTTTTTTTTTTAATGAGAGTGCTGGAGTTCAATGAACGAGTAAGTTTTCAACTAAGGAACAATTAAAATTTTTCGAATTAAAAACGCCAATCTCAATAAAAAATCTCCTGGCTCTTGTTTCACTAGCCGATAAACAGTTTTCGTGAAGAGATCTTGAACAGGAAAAAAAATTAACATCAATAAAAATTTATTGATTGAAAACGGAATCTATAGAAAAGATTTTCAGGATAAAATTTACACCAAATGCAATCAGAGATATATGAAAGTTTAAATATTAAGAGGTAATGTATGAATTCCATCTGCTAGCACTTCTCGTTTCGGGTAGGAAAATGAAAGAGCTTTCTTTTTCAGTTCATAAGTTACCACTTTTTCATTGTTTTGCACTCTGAATCCTCGGTTTGTAGTCTCAATTTATGCTTGCTCAACTAAAACACTTCGATATTTCTGCATCGGTGAGTTGTTTAACAGGGCTGTTTGGTTTATACCTTTCGAACTCAGTTTAACTGTTTTACTAATTTCATCCAGACAGCAGTACGTTTTGGAGCATAAGACAACCATCTCCGTGCATCGAAATTCTTCTTTGAAAAGACCAGGAGTTCTCTGATCATACTTGTTATGTTTTTCACAACACTTTCGAGGGAAAAAATTAGAAATTGAATTAGCAGTGAAATTGTCTCTACAATCGTTACTCCTCTTTAAATTCCATTCACTTTTCATTTCGGGTTTGATGATATCCTCGAGATCACTTCCGTTGATTGAAAGATATAAACTGTCCGTATCCATTTCAATGAACTCATATTTATCAGGATCGCAGAATGGTACGAAAAAATTATAGACGAGTTCAAGCATTACTAATTTTGCATACTGTAAGATGAAAAATCCCACTATAATCGGTTCTTTGTGTTCAACTTTCGATTTACCGAGTTCAACTTCATAAAGTTCGTTCGGTAATTCGTTAAACTTTCTGAACATCTTATCATTCACCAAAGTATTTACACATGATCCAATTACATACTTCGTTCGAGTATGTCTGGAACGATCCATGATTTGGTATCCGTAGGCACTGTTACCAACAACTTTCTCAATATTGGCACAAACAGCAGAGTCAGGATTAAGATCTCCTTGTCGTCTTGCTTCAACTACTCCATTAACGAATGTCTCGAAACACTGTTTCGGTTGGTATTGTACTGTTTCGGTTGGAAAACTACTGGGAATTAAGCGATTTTTATGAAGAAAGAAAAGTGCTCTACTTTCACTGCGAAGCAGTGAGAGCCGGGATTTTTGCGTAGAATAAAAATAAATTTAAAAAACTTGGGAAAAAATTTTGAAAAAAAAAACTCGCAAGGGTCTATATATATATAATATATGAGTACTTTATTGAGAAATAAAAGTGATACAACAATTTTTTTTTTCACCTGACAAAACAGTTTTTTTTACTATTTATTATTTGTTTTTCATCTGAAGACCAGAAAATGATTGGGTTACAGAACGAAGGGTGGAATTGATCTCATTGATAGAAAAAGAAAAAAAGTTCCCTGAACCCTTCAGTGGGAAAAAAAATTCAACCTTAAATTGTAAAAAAAATGAAAAATTAAAGGAAGGAAATCTTACTGGATGAATGACTGGAGTCACTGAAAAGTTGAGAGACGGATGAACAAGCAAAAGGGTTTGAAGTTTGAGTGAGATATTGGAGGCAGGATCGACTGATAAATTAAGCTGTGTAAGGTAGTAAAGAAATTGCGACAGATCTGAAAATTCATTTAAAAAAACCTTCACGCGTATAAGTAGTATAGCGCAACAAGAGGTCATGCCTGTTTTCGGAGAAAGATCAACCTGTCAAGGTCGCGTGACTATGTTACTCAATTAGTCTAATCTTTTTTTTTCTCGGGGGTCGTAAAAAAGATCTGATCAGATTAATTTTTTCACCTGCGTTAATTTTTGGGGTATATGACCGGACTCATTGGGGGAAATTTTGTCCAATTGTTAATAAGTGGATAACTCTGCGACATCGCTGAGGGAATCAAACTCTTATCAGATTAATTTTTTTCACTTGAATTACTTATCGGGTATTTAACCGGCATCCTTGGGAGTAAATTGTTTATAGGTAATTAGGGTGGATAGCTTAATGACATCACCGAGGGGAAAACAATTGTATCAGATTATTGTTTTCACTTGAATTATTTATCGAACTATTTATCCAGAATCACTGCTCCCTTTTTTCATGTATTTAAAAATAAGGAAGGGAAAAAATAAATTAGCCATTAGAGGAAGTTCTTGTTCCTTCCTTTTCTAAACTTAAAATCAAATTCATTCTCTCTCATACTTCCAGTTTCTTAAGCAGCCTCTAAGCTAGCTAAATAAATTTCAACTTTAACTTCTTTTGATCTTCTCCTTTAAAATCATGCTGGCAGCTGAGATAGCTCTCGGAAAACGAGAATTCGTGCATATAAACCAGATTGACATGGAAACCAGACGGGTGTGCTACACTACCACTGAAG